GTGTTCAATCAGAGACAGATGACTGGGGTAGGGCGTTATTTGTTCTCAGGCAGTTATCAATGGAGACAGGATCAATTATTTTCATTAGATACAGTCAACAAAGGCAGAAGGGATAAGGGTTCTTAGCTGGGGAAAGGCAGAGGTTAACTACTAGGGGGGATGGGAGGAAGAGAGAAGCAGAGAGTTAAGCTCCCCTTGCCAAGGCAGGACCTGATGAAGGACACTTACAGGGCCAGAAACTCTTTCATCAAAGGAAGGCTAAGAGAGGTGATTACTGTCCCACAATGCACAGGAAGAAATAGAGAGAATCCTAAGAAGCAGGGATGAGAAAGGACTAACTGCTTGTCTGGCCCTGCCCTTCAGACAGGGCAGGATTTGCTACCAAAATAGTATCTTCCAACATAAACACCTAGAAGGTAGAGATCATATCTTCTTTGTATCTTCAAATGCCCCATACAAGAAAGAACTCAGTAAAGACTCCTGACCAATGGCTCCTACATGTACTTCTCTCTAAATGATCTATATTACAGGTAGACAGTCTTGGGCATAACAGTGCAATCAATATATGCTGCAGACCTTTAATAAACGATTTTCCAAGAAATGAATATAACATAAGGTATATATAATATATATTATATGTATTTCTATATTGTGTGTGTCCTGGGGACACTCAGTTAGCCTTGCTGTGTCCCTCTTCTTTCTTCTACTTCCTTCTTCAGCTCCTCTCCCCCACCTCCCCTTCACCCCCCAGTGCCTTAGGCCTGCCAATATCTCCCACAGATAATGTTTATCTCGGGCTAAAGAAGTGGAAATAGCCACTTCCTTAGATGAGTGAGTCACTCTTCTGGGATTTCTCTACTGCAGAAAAACTTCCCAGATAACCTGTATTCAATTTAAATCTTCTTTTGTGATTTTATTCCAGAGCAAACTCCAGGGTGACCTGCTTAGGAAACTTGGAGGTTAACTTCTGCAGTCTTGCCAATGAGGCTGCGGGTAAATGTGGGCAATCTCTTCTTGTACTATAAATAAGAAATAAGTGTAACCATGCTAGATACACACACACACACACACACCCCCCACTACCACCACCACCACCACCACCACCAATACCTTCAGCCCAGATAGAATGAAAACTCCTTGAGGGCAGGAATTTGTGGTTGTTGTTCTAGTACCCTCAATACCTAGCATTGTACCTCATATAAACTGGTGATTAGCAAGTGTTGTATGGAATACTGTTATCTTACTTTCTGTACTTAAGAAGTGGGTGCCCCCATTAGCCTACTACGAGGATTATTAATCAACTACAAAATATCCTGAATACATACTCAAAAATATACCCTTTCGCACTTGATTTGAATCCTTGAACTCAAATTTTATGTCCCCAGACTAAAATGGTGATCTAAGAAGTCCCATATAATCCAAATTCTTTTACCCAATCAATCATACCTCCCTTTCGTGATTCCTGGAGTGATGGAGTGTTAACTGTTCATTACTACATTGTTGCTAACCCTAATAGCTGACATCTATATAGCTTTAAAACATGTTACATGTGTTATTATCTCATTGAAGTCTAACAGCAACCTTGTGACATAGTTTCTATAGTTATCATCTTCAATTCACAGATTTGAAAAAATCAGGATTGACTTGCCCGTGGTAACACAGAGTGTTTGGAGTCAGGACAAGAAGCCAGATCTTCCTAACTCCAAGTCAAGCATTCTGCCCACTACATCAGAGGTTGTCAAAGTGTGAACCAGGGACCCTTATGGATCCCCAAGACCTTTTAAAAGAGATTGTGAGGTCAAAACTATTTTCATAATAATACTAAAACTTTACATTTCTAATGTAATAAACATTGATAGGTATGACCAAAAGCTTTTTGGGGTCCTCAATAATTTTTGAGAGTACAGAGGGGTCCCAAGACCAAAAAGCTTAAGAATCACTGCCCCATACCATACTATCTCTATTAGTGAAAAGCAGCAGTAGCGTGGATACGTTTTTTAAAAGGGCAGGAGGGGATAATTCAAAGATCATTTATATTTGGCTTTGGAGCATGTTTTTGTACTTACATTTGAATATGGGTGTGTCTAATTCTGGGAATTCATGATACTTTCACCTAAACAAGCAAGCAACACTGGGAATACCTGATTTAAGAAAAGTTGGGTAATGGCCCAGTTTCCTGTTCTTTCTCCTCCCATCTCCATCACCCCCCTCCTCTCCCCCCAGTTCTTTGAAATTCTTCATTCCACAATGGAGAAGAGCAGGCTCCTTCTTTGACTGATACAAAGCATCAGCCCAAGATAAACTGTCTCCACTCCCTCCTGGAACCAATTGCAGACTCACATCTTCTCCGGGTAAAGGGAAATTGTTCATTGTATTGCTTCATAAACCTGCTGAGCTGCTACATTGGAGGCTATATAATTATAGACAGTAAAATTAAAGAGAAAGAACTTAACTAAACAAAATAGATAAATAGCTGATATTTATATGGGCTTTAAGATTTTCAAAGAGTCTTATATACATTGTTTTGTGTTATCCCCACAACAACCCTGCGGGATAGGTGCTACAGTTATCATTACCCTTATTTCAGGGATGAAGCTCTGAAATGTTCCTTGCTTAGGTTAATAAGTGTCTAAAGCAAGAGTTGAAGCCAAGTCTCCCCAACTCCCAAGTCCATAATCTTTCCACTATATGTCACTGCCTCTTAATGGAAACTTTAGTAAGAACCAGAAAATAAACTACATTGTTGGCTATCTGACTAAACAAAGATGGCTGCAGAGTTTGTCTTATTTGTGCTTGTTTTCCTTTAAAATTTCATTTGACTAATTCAAATGTTTTGATTATCACTATTTACTCAGGAAAGAAAGCTGCCCACTAAAGCTACCCCAGTGATAGAAAAGGGCAAGCTTTTTGCCCATTTTCAGTGAGCTGGGTTTTTCCTGCATTGAAGATTATAATTCTCTTCTCCCTCAACACACAGATCCAAAAGTACCACCAAAATATCCACAGAAAATAACAGAATATCTGACCCAGAAGCAACTTGAGAGGGTACCTGGCATGAACAATGTTTGAGCAGGAATCCCCTCTAAAAGATGTCCTAGCAACAGATCATCCAGCTTCCAAAGGAAGACCTCCAATAATGGGGAACCCACTACCTCAGGAGGTAGTCCATTCCATTTTTGGACAGCTCTAATGATAAGGAAAGTTTTCCTTATATGGAACTGAAATTTGCTTTTCTGCAACTTGCACTCATTCCTTCTGGTCCTGCCCTCTTGGAGCCAAGCAGAACAAACCTACTGCCTCTTCCACATGAGAGTCCTTCAAATACTTGAAGACAGCTACCATCTTCACCGCCTAGGTCTTCTCTTCTCCAGGCTAACCATCCCCAAATGCACAAGGTCCTTCAATAGTTGTATTCAGGTCACTTCTTTCAAATAACACTATGTAATGGACCCAAGCTGTTTTTCATACTTAATCACTAATAAATAAAAAGAAAAGGCTTGGGATCAGCTTTGAGACTAACCAACTGTACCCAAAGATAAATCATTTAACCTTCCAATGCCTTAGGCTCCTTTCTGTAGAATGGAAATAATTAAACAGATGGATCTCACAAACGCAAATGGCCTTAGTGTCTCTGACTGGCATTAAAGGAAAGCTGAACAGGAAAGGACAGGTGGGGAGCTATGGCAGCTCTTGAAATCCATAAACAAATGCATTCAGATTTGAAGAGCTACGGACAGCTGCATTTAGACCACCACAAGTGACCCAGAGGTCATTACAGTTTTCTGTTTTTAAAAATGCATCCACTTTGGGAGCATTCTCTGGGCTATTTGTATGGAATGAAGGCACTGTTGTAGCCTCATTTATAGTAAAGACTCCCTGAATTACACTTCCATCCAAACAAGGGAACTCCTTTATGAGGCTGCTCTTCAGGGACAGGAGTAATACAGTTACTGGTTAATTGCATTAATCAAGCTTTTAAGAGTATTCAGTTATTCATTCGGTCAACTAACTTTTTTTTTTAATTCTTACTACGGGCAAAAGCTAGGTCTAAGGTTTCTGGGGACAATATGAATGACACTATCCCAGTCCTCAAGGAGTAGAGAATTATGTTTCAGAAGACTGAACTTAACATGTGTGTATACACACACATATAACTCCATTTTAAAACGAACGTTATAACACGCATCTACCGCCAATCGTACTCCTGTCTTTCAAACGAGATGATCCCAGATTAAAGATCACGGAGCTGGAAGGGGCTCATGTCTCAATTCACGGTTGAAGAAACTGAGGCTCCAAGGTTGGGTTACTTGGCCGTGGTCACCCAGCAAATAAGTGTAAATAAAACAGGATTTAAAAGCAGGAAGAAACAGAGACAAAGAAAGAAAAGGCATAAAAGGAGAGAAAAAGACAAAGAGACACGTAGACAGGCAGATAGGATCTAAGGCCTTTTATGTGCCTTCTTCTCTCTACTCCCCCCCCCCCCCGAAAAAGCCATAAGAAAATGAAAAACGGGGGGGGCGCATCTAAGGGGTCTCCCGAGATGGGCTCGGGTAGGAAGCCGGTCTCTGGAGGTCGTGGGGAGCGGAGCCTGGAAGGAGGACAGCAGAGAGCAGGCAGCCCCAGGGGAGAGGCTGAGGCCGAGGAGGCAGCTCCCGGGCTGCTGCGGGGGAGGCGGAGGCGGAAGCGAGGGAGGCCGAGCGCGGTGGGGATGTTTAAAGGAAATTTACAATCATTTCCTCTCTGTGGTTTGGTGACAAATCAACAACATCCTGTTCTTTTGTGAGGCTCCGGGCGCCTGCCAGGCGGAGGCAGCTCACAGGCTCTTAAAGCGATAGCCGCCCCGCCGCCCGTGAAAAGAGGCGGGGTGCGGGAACCTGGAGGAGGGAGCCTAGGCTGGGGGGATGGGGGAGAGGAGGATGGGGGAGGGGAGAGAGAGAGCACGCCTCCACCCTGGCTCCCTTCCCCCCCAGCCACGGCTCCACCCCGGGCGGCGAGGAGGAGCCGGGGGCGCAGCCGGAATGCGGAGAATGACCGGAGGGGGCTCCGCCTGACCTCCCCACCCGCCCCCTTTCGCACGAGCATCTGCTCCGAAAACTTAATGAGGTCGGATCGACTTCCAGGGAGGAGGACCAGCAGCAGTGAGAGGGAGGGGAGGATGAGCACTGCAGCAAAACGGAGGTGGGGGGGGGAGGGACTGCCATCAAGTGAGCGGCAGGAGCAGGGACCCCCCCAAGTTCTTTTCTCTGCATCTCGCCCCCCCCATCTCCTTCTTCTGAACATTGCCCTGAGAGGGGGGGAAGCGAAGGAGAGCTTGCCGCAGAGATCCGTGATTGATGGCAGTATCCGGGCCATCCTCAGCGGAGGGGGCTAAGGGGGATGGAGGTGGAGGGGGGTGGGGGCCAGCATCCCGGAGCAGGAGCTGAACGGGAGCAGCGGCCCCTCCCAGCAGCGCAGCCTCGACTGCCTGGGGGGTTCCGTGTTTTGTTTTCCCGTCACAGCTTGCCTTTCCTTTGCTGCCTCTCTAGTCTCAAAAACATACAGAGCTCTGTGAACTCCAAAATTAAACAGTTGAGTCTTAAAAACAGAACTATGTATACCTTTAAAAATTGATAAACTCTGTATAGCTATATCTCTGGATAGATACAGATATGCACACACAGCTTTTATATTGTCATTTATTTATAGTGCTTTGTTATAGTGATTGATATTTACAGTGCCATCGGAGGCTTTTGCTGAACATCGTTCGGAGGGCATCATTGGACCTACAGTAGGTCAGTACTGCAGGGGGACTCCATGCGTGCAGTGATTCTGTGACCTGGCTTCTTAACCTTTTTCGGGTCCTGAACCCTTTTGCCAACTAGTGAAGCTTGTGGTTCCCTTTTCAAAATAATGTTTTTTAAATGCGTTATATATAGGATTGTAAAGGAAATTAGTTACGTTGAAATAGTTATAAAACATTTTAAGAAGAAAAAAGTTCACAGACCCTAGGTTAAGAACCCAGGAGTATGGTTTGAGGACCTTGACTCTGATCAAGGAAAGGAGAAAAATCCCTTGAGCAGAGGGAGAGTTAATAAATGAAAGTTATTATACTGCAGTCAAATAAAAATAAAGAGCCAGCCATAACTACACACTTTCCACTAGAGTCCTAAAAGCTGGGCAGAGGTGGAATGGATTCACTACAAGGCAAAGAATTAGGCCATGGGCAATAGGGAAAAAGCAGGGGAGCATGGCTCAAGAGTCCGAGGTTCCAGACCCAGTTTTGCTGCTGGTGCTGTGTGACCTTAAGCAATTCCCCTAAAATAAAGGGATTGGGCTAGAATATAATTGCTAAGATCCCTTTCAGTTTATATATGTGTGTATATGTATATGTGAATATATGCCTGTACATACGTATATACATACATACATATATGTGGAAATAGCTTCAAACTGCAGCAAGAACAATTCAGGTAAGATGATAAGGAAGAACTTTATTGAGCTTTTATATACTGAGGGAAAATTCATAGTATTTAGAGTTGGAAAGGATCTTTGACCTCACTGATCCAACGCCTCCCTGAAACCACCACCTTCATTTTACAGATAAAGAAGTTGAAGTTCCAAAAGATTAAATGACTTGTCCAAGATCACACTAAGCAAGCCTAGGATTTGAACCCAGATCATCTGATTCCAGATCAAGTGCTAGCTCCTTCCCTAAAGACTTGTAAAAATGAGAAACATAAGTGTGAAGACAGAGAATTGGAGTAGATGACCTCCAGTGATCCCTTCTAAGCAAGGATTTTATGCTTAAAACTGATGTGTTAAGAAAACAGCCTTAGACACCTTTTTGGTTTTTCTCTGTTTATTCTCTTGGTTCCTTTCAAAGATAATCCCCATAAAACACTGGGTTTTTGCCTTAACTAGACAGAGGCACCATTTGGTGGAGCTGCTAACGAGAATGGATGAACTTCCTATGTACCCCAAATAACAGTGAGGGCAGGACACATGAACCACAAGCTGCCATTCCAGCTGACTCCTGTCCTTCCCTTCACCTTTCAACATATTCACCATGATGTTTTTGCTTTGGGCAGGGGCATGCTTGGAAATGAGACAAGATTGGACACTAGAGTAGGCCCCTGGGAATGCATATATACAGTAGGGAGAAGGTAGGAAATGGGTGGTATGTAGACCTGCCAAGAAAGCCTTGTTCAGGCTAGGCAACCTGCAGTCTCTTTGCTCCTGGGTTTTTAGACAAGTGCAGATGGTTCCAATCTTTCGTGTGGTTGCTTTACCCAGGAACAAATTCATTTTCAAGGAAATTAAGCCCACAAGGTAAATCTGGCTCCCCCACTCCTTTGCCTCTGGGTAGTTCTGCTCTGCCGCTGTTTCACCTTGATTTTAGAAGCTTTGTAGCTACCATACTACAGGTTCTCCCTTGAAGAAGTTGGATGTATGACTTTTGACATCCCCTCCAAAAAAAAAATGTGAAAAATTTAGAAGTAATATATACATACAGGGTAGGGGAATATCCCCAAATCCTGTCTTCCCTGGGAGTCTAAACTTCAGGTTCTAGCTTTTATAACAGAAAAGTGAAATCCAATGAACATTCCCTTTCCCCCCCACCACAGTTTTGTCAAGAGAGGCTTTGTGATCTAGGGATCATACCCTGGCTTCAGGAATCCAAAGTCTGAATTTAGCTCATATTCAATTCAAATCAACAAATAACTTGTTAAATGTTGACAGTGTGCAAGGTTCTGTTCTGGGCCTGCAGGGATACAAAGACAAATAAATAAATAGATAGTCCTTGCCCTTGAAGAACTTATATTATGCTTCAGTAGAGGAGAGGATGGGAGGAGAACCTACATTCCAGACATGGAGGACCACTGTATACCTCCGGAAGCATCTCATCTCTTTTAGTGAGCATGGTATTCTGTTTGCATCGTGTCTCTAAAGTCCCAAGATGATTCAGTAATGACAACACGAGTGAAGGTTCAGAAGCTATGTAATAACAGGACAAAAGTAATCCACTGCACTGTGCCTCAGTTTCCCCAATAAAAAAAATCTACAAGATTATGATACTATTTCTTGAGAAAACTTATCAGCACCATTTAGAAGAAAATTTAAAGGCCCTACTTGCTTGCATCCCTGTACATTGATATAGAATGACCTCCTATCAGCCAATTTTTTAAAAGTTCCTCTTTTTAATCCCCCTTCCTTTCCCTTTCCCTTTCCAAAAAGTCTTTTCAGGAAAGACTTTAGCTCCTGTACAAAAAAAAAAGAGGGGGGGAAGGAAGGGTTCATAGGGGTTTAAGATTTAAACTGATGGGTCATTAACACAGTAACAAAGCAAGCAGGAATTTTCCAGGTCACCAGCCAACCCTTTACAGTGGCATTTAAAATTCATTGGGGCTTGGGGGTGGGGATGAGGAGGGTAATGCTGGTGGTCAGGGTAGGAAAGAAACTCTCCCAGCTCCTAAGGAAAAAAGGAACACCCAGATTTATTTATGGCAGGCAAGACCCCTTAAACACCAGTAAAATGTATTCAATTTGCTGTGGACTTTGTAGTATTAATCCTTCAGATCTGGCTCTGCCACTCATTACTTGTGTGACTTTGGACATGTCACTTTCCCTCTCTAGGCCTCAGTAAAATGAAGGGACTGAACCAGATGACCTCTAAGGTCCATGATCCTATGAGCTGCTAGTAAAACAAATGCCAAAGCAACCTCTAGAAGGAAGTTGAGGGCTGGCTTTGGGGCCAAGAGCACTTGGATCAGAGTCCTACTTCTGACTTTACATTGTGTGACCCTCACCATATCATTTAACTTCTCAGTGTCCAACAGAATTCTTTAAGGCTGTAAGTTACATAAGAGCTGCAGATATTCATTCAGGAAGGGAGTTTCCACTCTGGGAGGTTCTGACATTAATGAAATCACAGCCTAGGCCAAAACAAACACAGCCTAGGCCAGGGGGGGAAACAACAACATCAGTCCACGTGTATAGCCAAGACAAAGCTTTAAGTCAAATATTCTCCCCCAGCCCTTCGACTAGGGAACACCTCGCCCCTTAATCCATCCTCAATCCCAATTTTCATCCATCAGCTAAGAAATAAAATGTTCTGGGAACATTCACCATTTCTTTCAAACTCACTGAAACTTACCCAGACAGACTCACAACCTAACTTGTTCCAGCTGGGGTGAAGTTCAGGAGGAGAGAGCCTCAGCCGCATTGTACATTTCCCCCATATGTTTGATTTTTTTTTTTTCATTTAGTTGCTGGCAAGCTAGAAGTCACAAGGGAAGGCAGCTCTAGCGCTTAATTGGTAAGCAGGGCTTAACTGCTAGAAATATTCTTCCTATGATTGACTTCCCTGATGAAGAGAGAATGACAGTCATCTTGAAATGTGATGCTAGGACTCATTCCACACAGCTTGTTTGTCCTTGGAACTGTCACCCCACCCCATTGCTTTGGATCTATGTCTACACCTGCGTACATTTAAATTCCTGGCCCCTCCAACTCACTGTCCCCAGACCCTGGGGGTGCTCTTCTATTGTGGGCCTGGAACCTCACAGAAGCTTCTTGGGCGGTGCTTACACATAGGCCTATAGGCAGAATGACTTCCTGCAGACAATTCAAAAAGATTCTCCAAATTCTTTGATCCATCTGGAATTTTATTGTATTGAATGCTGCTTAAAGTAGGTTATTGTTTGGAACTAGGGAACTTTTTTCCCCTCACATAGAGATGTTTGTCATAATGGTATCTGACCTGTAATAACAATTTTGACAGATGCCCTTGGGAGATGACCAGGCCCAAGATCTGGAAACAGGGAATAGTAGTGGGAGGAGAGGAAAGTCAGAGGAGAAGAAAGTCAGAGAAGCATATTGTAGCAAGGTTGTGATAAATAGATCCAGAAAAGAGGCAAGTTGCATATTTAAGCTGTCACCAGATAGAACTATGAATGAAAATGAGCTCAGGCTGAGTATTTATCTACTTGAAAGATAGAGGGTAGAAGTCAAAAAAATCTCATCTTCCTCACTCTCACCCCACCCATGCACAAAAGTCAATTAGCCAAGCAAAAAGCACACCTACTATGTGTATTTCCAGGCACTGGGAAATCTAAAAATAAGAACAGAATTATTCCTGCCATCAAGGAACTTATATTCTTTTTTTTTTTTCCAAATAGAACCCTTCCCAACCATCTTTGTCACTGGACCCAACATTCTCCTATCTATCGGGACTTTAAAACTTGTAGTTCTTTTGAATCATCTCTCTTGTATCCAGTCAAAGATCAAATCACATTTATTTTCCCTTCAAAATATGTCTTCTATGAGTCCCTTAGAGGCAGTGTGCCACTGGGGAAAGAGCACTGATTTAAAAGTCAGAGGACATGTGGTTCAAATCCCAGTTCTGTCACTTACTAGCTAAGTGACTATAGAGAAGTCAATTCCCTTTCTGGGCCTTGGTTTCTTCATCTGTAAAATGGGGGGGTGAACTTGAATGTGCTTTCCAGCTCTCAAACTATGGTCTCATTACTTCTCATAGGCTCACAGGATTTAAAGCTGCTGGGACATTAGAAAGCCTCTAGTAAAAATTAATAATAATAATAATAACAACATCTGAACAATGCTTTAAGGTTTACAAAGAGCTTTACACATATTATCTCATTTGATCCTCATGACCACCCTGGGAAATAGGTGCTATTAAAATTCTCTTTTTTGCAGATGAGGAAATGAAGACAGGCAGAGGTTAAGTGACTAGTCCAGAGTCCCACAGCAAGAAAAAGTGTCTGGGGCTACATTTGAACTCAGGCCTTAGAGATGAGGAAAATAAGGCCCAGATGAATTTAATGTGGTCACACAGGTAGTGCTATATAAATGCTAGCTAATATATTACTAAGTAACACAGCTGGGCTTCAAATACAGGGCATCTAATTATATATCCAGTGTTCTTTCTACTATACCATACTGCCTCCCCATTCTCTGGTTTTCTAGATGAGGAAGCCTGATGCTGTAGTTACAAGAGCACCTTCATTAGTATCTCTGCCTCCAAGCCATCCCCAAACACCACTGCCACATTTAACTTCCTTAAACATCACTACCATTATATCATTTTCCTGTTAAAAAAAAATCTTCAATGGTTTCCTGTTTCCTATAATAGCATTGAGTCTGAGCTCCTCAGCCTGATTTTCAAGGACTTCCCTTGTCTTATCCTATCCTACTCAGTCAACTTGATTTCCTACTACTCCCTAACATATACCCTCTTTTTTAGTCCAGCTTGCTCTCCCACCCTTCAACTTAATAGCCTTTTGTCTCCTGTATCTGGAATACCTCTGCCCACCTAGTAGCATCTTAGCCACTCTTCTAGGCCCAACTCAAATCCATCTTCTCCAAGAAGCCTTCTTTGACTATTCCCATTCTCATTGGTCTCTACCATCCTGGATCTCCGAACAGCACAGATTGGGTGGGGAACCTGCTGCCTCAAGGCCACATGTGGCCCTGTAGGTCATCAAGTGCAGACCTTTGACTGCAAAAACAAATCTCAATTTGTTCTGTGAAGTTTGCATTCAGTCAAAGGGCCACACTTGAGGACCTACAGGGCCACATGTGGCCTTGAGGCAGCAGGTTCCTCACTCTCGCACAGATAGTCTAAATTGTACAAGTTAGCAAGTAACTACATTGTCTTTTAATTAATTGCATTGTTTTCCATTTGGGAAATCATTCTTTTATGTATTTTAATCTTGACTCCCCAATAGTAAGGAAACTCCTTGAAGTTAGAGACACGTCTCATGCTTCTCTCTCCCATCCCCACCCCTAACATCTAGCATAATGCTGACTAAGCT